GTGAAGAAGTGAGACTAACCCCGCCTTCACCTCCCTGCTCCCTGAGTGTTTATGTGTGTGTTACGTGACGACTGATGGCTTGCTCGCTCCTTCTCTTTCCCCTCTCGTCATCACTCTTTTTTTCTCTTTGTTGTTTTTTTATTCTGACTCAACGCAGACCTCGCACCGCGTGCGTCATCAACGGTTTATCAAAGCAACAATACCCCGCCCACACATACACACACACCTCCCAGTACGGCTCATTAACATCCACTCACATTGTTGGGATTCTCACAGCGTCCTGATGGAGTCACTCCACACGGAGTCACAAACACAGAGTGTGAGAGGATGAACTTTAACTCGAAAACTGAGACAGATACGACCTGTTCCCATAAAGGAAATGAGTCCTTCAGTCCTTCAAATCCATCAAAACTACACTCAGAGGTGTCGACACTTGTCCTGTAGAGCCACATTAACCAGGATGTTATATTTCTTGTAATCATTGTGTGAATATAAATTGTTGATGTCCAGTCGAGACACTCAAACATTTACCTGCCATTTTTTATTCCATAACAAACAAATGATTTAAAATCAGATTTTAAGAAGACCTTTAAAGGAAGAATGTGCAACATATTACACATAAATATATCAGAGATCAAGTCTACCCTGTAAGTGTCTCTCTGAGGAGTTCTGTTCTTGTCTTCTTGTTTCCACCTGTAACACCGGACCTCTTCATCACTCATGAACACTCATTTCATTCTGAAGGAGTCGTGTTTTTTTCTCGTCTGTTTGACGGCTCAGCTCCTTCACTTGAGTCCATAAAGGAGAAGTTTACCTGCCTTTGCGTCACCTGCTGCTTTATCCCTCCAGGTAACCTTCATACCTTCCTCCATAACTTTTTTTTTTTTTTTTTTAAGATATTTTTTGTGGCCTTTTTGCCTCCACTAGATAGGACAGCCGAAAAGAGACAGGAAATCCCGGGAGGAGAGAGTCGGTAATGACATGCAGCAAAGGGCCGAGCCCGTACCCGAACCCGCGGTTGCTGCGCTGAAGATCACGGCCTCCATACACGGGGTCTGCGTCATACCGGCTAGGCTAGCGGCGCCCACATTCCTCCATAACCTTTAAAGATATTTCACTGCTGCAGAAATTCTCACTCTCATTTTCACTCCAAACACAAACATAAAGTTGCTTCTTCTCGTCAATTTCCACCCAGTGCATGATGGGAAATCATCTCGACAGGGGTCCAGTCGTATCTTTACTTTTGCACATTTCTGGATTTTTGTGTCTTGTTTTTCATATGAAATGTTTAAATTATTGTTTTTGTTCTGTTTCTTTCTTGTCCAGTTTAAATGGAGCAGTGAAGATGTTGCTTCTTTAATGTGTTTGATTAGTAAAAAAAAAAAAAGCTGAATAATGAGGTGACCTACACCTTTTTCTACATCTCTTCAGTCATCAATTTATTTTATGTTATGTCAGCAATTTGTACATTTAGTCGGGTTAAGGTTAATAAATACCTCCCCATTAGCCCCTATCCTTCTTGCTGCATCTCCCTCTCCCATTTATTCAAACCTGGCACCGTTTCGGCAGATGGCTGTTCATCATGAGTTTGATCTTGCCCAAGATTTCTGCCTCTTAAAGGAGGTTTTTTTCTTACCACTATAACTTAGCTAAACAGAGCTCAGCGTAATTTCAAGCAGGAAGACTGTTTTTATTCTCTCACACATTCATTCGATTCCTTTCTTGAACTTCCCTCTCTTCCACATCCTCCATCTCCCTGATCAGCTGATTATGAGTGTTTACTCTTTTATGTAGCCTAATAATCCAACCTGACTCTGCCACATCCTCTCTCTACCAACCGTCCTGCTTTTTAAAATACATTTTAAAACCGGTTCTCTCTCCTCCACAGTCAGTTTGTCATTTCAGTGCGATCGCTGTGACCCTCCTCCTCCACAGTCACCTCCATCCCAGCTCAGCAGAGTTCAGATCCAGCCTCAGAAACCCAGTCCTCATCACATCCTGCATTCTTCTATCACCACCACCACCAGGGTCTAGACTCCTTGGGGGGGGGGGGGTCTCCTTATCCTGCTGTCAGCCTCACTACCCCTCTGAGTGCATGAAGTAATTGTAAACTCTTACTTAAGTCTCTCCTGATTGAAATGTTGCTTAGTGCTCATGATGGATTACCATCAGGTCTTTGTAATATAGCGATGAGTAAGGTCTTTTAACTGCTCTTATGTAACGTGTCTTGAGATAACATTTGTTAGGAGTCCGAGCTGTACAAATAATGATTGATTGATCATTGCACATTTCAATGTGTGGCAAAGTGGAAAAAAAAAGTCTGAGCCCAGTGTCATAAAGTGCTGCACACTGAGGATGGGGTGCCAAATATCTACCAAATATCATCAATGGTTTGTGTGAAGGTTTGGTACAATCCCAGTGTGTGTGCGCATGTGTGTGTGTGTGTGTTGGCTGCAGGGAGACAGTTGTGTCCCACTAATAAGGAGCCGGTCTGACAGCAGTCTGACATCCTCCTGACAGACAACGAGTCGGCTTTGTGCTGAGTTACTAGAATATTCCTGGCATCTCTCTGCTCGGGGTTAACTCCAGGGACGCAGAGGCAACGCTGGATCAATTTAGATTCTGCAGATTCCAGATTTCCTGCCTTCAAATGTGATACCCAGTCTGACAAACGACATTCACTCACTCAGTAGTCATCATGTGAAATATTTTATTTTTATTGAATATTCAGGGTCAGGTATGTGTGAGGCACATTGACAGGAGGACACATGAATGCTTACCTTTCTGCGGGGGTTTATATAGCAGTGGGCTTATATTGCTAGCCAGAAACCCAGCAGACAATGTAGCTGTAGAATTGAACCACACAGAAATCTACATTGTATGCCAGGTTCAGGACAGAGCAAAGGGTCGGTTCTTTAGAGGAATGCAGCGGTTCACTTCAAACTTTCAATCAGTCTCTCTGAGGAGATTTAGAGCCTCTCGGCGAGAACGGCTTAAAGTAAACATAAATCCTTACATATTTACAGAAAATGCATGTACCTGCAATAAAGTCAGAGAAAACAAGAGAGCAAAAATGTCTATAAATATCCTCTAAATGATGCAAGTGGGGAAAAAAATCACGACACTCAGAAATCCTGCTTTTTCTATAGTGTGAGTCACAGCCCCCTAGTGGACCTTGACGGTACTGCAGGTGGGTCGCGAGAGGCCGTTTAAAAAAAAAAAAAAAATGCAATACATTTCTATTTTGCAATGCATTATTGTCGGCACCTTTCACAAAGAATTTTTCTTTTGATATAAAATATGAAATTTCTGTCTCAAGCTTTGTGTTGGTCATGACGATAATAATGATGCCGATGGTTTTGTTTGAGGATATTCAGGATGGTTTACATGCTGATTAGAACTCTCAAGAAGCAGCTGTCGATGTTGTGCTCTTTGCCTCTGGTCACTTCCTGTCAGCAACTTTGGTCACTTCCTGTCAGCACCTGTGTGTCCGATTAGACTTAAAGCTGCTTGTTTGCACTTCCTGACGTTGTCTCCTCCTCTCTAGATCCTCGCTTGTCTTGTTCTTACTCTCTGATGTACGTCGCTTTGGATAAAAAACGTCTGCCGAGTGAACTGTTGAATATTTGCAGAAAGCACTAACGCTAGGTGTAAACAGCCAATGATTGACATGCATCTTTTTTTGACTAAATAAATACCCGATCCTAGCCACACCCAGTTATGATCCAAATATCAGAAGGCTTTCAGGAATTTACAAAATATTGAATTTGAATCAAAACGTTGGAGCTTTTAACACTTTTAGAAGCCTCCTGTTGTGTTTGTGAGGCTCCTTAGTTTGGAAGGTATTTGTGTTTCCAGAAGTCTTAACACAAAGAGGATCTCTCAGTGAGGGAGGCAGAATTGAAAGAAGAATGATGGAAGAGGAAGGAGTGAAAAAAAAAAAAAAGAAGCCTTGACAAGGGCCCCTTGTGGTGTTGTAACACAGAGAACATCCTGTCAGTGGGGTCACAGGAAGGAGCCCCCCTCACATCGCAGCCAATCACAGGATAGGAATGCACCATGCAGCCAATGGGAGCAGCGTCTGGACTCGCTCGACCAGGAAGTAGGCCGAGCCGTCAGAGACCCAGTAGCCAGATGTAGCTGCTGATTGCTACACAGGATCTACACTGCCTACTGAGCAACTGACAGCAGCCACAGAGGCGTGAAGCGTGGAGGCCGAGCGCTCCGGTCACGACGGGGCGGGGGGAGAGAAAACGAACGTCTGCAGACAAATCAGAGAGAGAGAGAGAGAGAGAGAGAGAGAGAGAAGTATATAAACACACACAGAGCCACAAATTAACCTCAAATTCAAAAAGGTCATCAATAAGAATAAATTAGTATTTTTATCATGAAACATCTGCAAACGTTTGTGCATAAAATCCAAATAAAGTCTGGTGAAGAAGAAGAAGAAGAAGAAAAGAAGAAGAAGAGCAGCCTGAGGGCGGAAGGATATGGGAGATTATCTTCTGACGAACATCTCAGAGCGTGCCATTATCAGTCACAGATTCCTGTCATTCTTTCCCATTAGCCCCGAGGCGCGGCAGACAGCGGCCACCGCCACACGGGCTCCAACGCTCAGCCTGGCTCTGAATGGGGGCGCTGACCCGGGTTAATAAAGAATGACCTGCACAGGTGAGTGCAGGAGGAGGTGAGAGAGGGACTACTCTTCTTCTTCTTCTTCTTCTTCTTGTGTCTCTCTGCGGTCACGAGCCGCACTCTGCATACCTGAGGCCTCATGACCGTCCTGATCAAACATCCTCTGACCAGCTGAGCGTCACTTGACTCCAATTTCTCTTTATTAAGAGAGATGTGGCGTCCGCTCTCTCTCCTCCTCCTCCTCACATTCCTGTTCTCGGTCACCATCTCTGCTCCTTGTGTCCTTCAAATTTGAAGACTTTTCCAGGCACACATTTCAAGATGTCAAAGCCGACGGTAGAAAATGTGTCAGGACTTGAGCGACTTCCAATTTCTTCTGTTTGAATCAGATTTAGCGGGTGAATATGAAGCTTCTAATAAGTTTTTATTCAGTTCAACACCAGACCGAACCCCTCAAATATTACGTGCAAGAGATTCCTTTAAGCACCATATGAAGAGGTGTAAAGGGTTGTTCCCTCTGGCTCTGTTTCTCGGCTGGAGGGAACACAGTTTATAAAAAGAGGATGGAGAGGTGAGAGTCAAGAGGAAAGACATGAAAAGAAGCTGAGAAATCGAGGAATGGCTTCTTACCTCTCTTTGGAAACACATGGCGGATGTTTCTGGAGGAAGCTGTGCACGATGGACAACCTGAAAAAAGAAACAAAGGGTGTCAAGACACCAGATGTAGGACGGCCAGTTGCAGAAAGAAGCTCAGCTGTGTGACAAAGCTTTCACTTAAACAGGCGTCATATTAACCGGCCCAGAGCGGCGAGCCTCAGTCGGCTCACAGGGCGACAGATAAGCTGATAACGTCTTCATGTCTTATCTCTTTCTTTTTTTTCCACACTTTGTTGATGCTGCCAGAAGGCCGAATGTACCCAAACTAATTTTATCGTCTTTACTTTTCCACTGAAGCCGAAGCTTTTGGTTTGTGAGACAGAAGGCGATAGAGGGATGAGGTCAGAAGTTTAAAAAAAGGGATATTCAAAGATTTTTACAGACTTTTCGGAGATGAGCGATTGGTTTAGTTTTTAAGGAACAATATTCTAGAGTTCCCCCCTCAGGAATGTTTGGAGTTGAATGAGATTGGGACGTTTTATAGGACGCTTTGACTTTAGCTTCTTTTTGCTCCAGTTCAGCCCAAAAAGCACAATATCACATGGGCATGTTCTTGGGGTGCAGGTGGCCTAGTGGTTAGTTTGCACGGCCCATGTATGGACGATGTAGTCCTTGGAGAACGCAGCCCGGGTCTGACCTGTGGCTCCTGACGTCATTCCCCACTCTCTTCTTGATTTCGGACTCTATCCTCTGTCCTGTCTCTCTAATAGAGTCAGAAAAAGTCCAAAAATGAATCTCTAAAAAGTGCATGTTCTTTGACTTGCAAGGGAGAAACTGTAGAATAAATAAAAAGCAAAAATGCATCGACTTTTCTGATAAATCGAATCGTAAACTCTTTGAGTCAGTCCTTTAAATTCTTGCATACATGAACGTGTGAGAGAGAAAGAGGGTGGAGAGACATGAGTCAGGTGAAGGAGATGGAAAAGAATCGAGGAGTGACTTCTTACCTCTCTTTGGGAGCACATCTGTGATGTTCCTGGAGTAATCGGTGCATGATGGACAACCTGAAAAACATTAAAAAAAAAGAAACACAGGTGGTAAGATATTTGCTGTTTTAATGTAACACAAGTTAAATCAAGATTTGGGACAGCCAGCTGCAGAAGAGAAGCTCAGCTGTGTGTCATGAAATGAACATGCGGAGCAGAGAATTGATCTTCAATGAAGCCGGCAATCTGCAACTCTGTAAACCAGTGAATATATATATGAGAGGGATCGTCTTCTACATTTTAAAGGAGACGATTAAATGAGTGAAGGTCTCGAGAATCAGCTCAAAATGTTTGAAAATTCAGAAATACTTCCACAAAGAGGGAGTCAATGAGATTAGGTTTTGCAGGAGGTTTTTTTTTTTTAAAGGATGCAAGGGGCTCTACAGGTCAAGGAAGGAGGTGGATGAATGAATGGGCGGCTGCTGGGAGTCCTGAGGACGGGTGAGGACGGAGGGGGGAGGGAGGAGGGAGGAGGGAGGAGGGAGGGGGGGGGGAGGCCAGGCGTGCCTTCCATTCCTGCCTGCGCTGGGGGAGTCTATTCCTAGAGTGTGGTGGATGGCAGTTGATGTGGGTTTCCTCTGAGCTGCCTGGAAGATGACTGGCCCTGACCACATCCACATTCACGTTCACGTTCACACGCACGCGCACACACACACAAACACACAAAACACACAGAGTGACAACTGTACAGCACATACACACACATGCAGAAATGTGCATACACACACACGTTGTGAGGGAAGCAAAGAGGAACTGAATCATTACGCTGCTTCAGCCTCTAAGCCAGAGGTGACCACTGTACTGTGTGTGTGTGTGTGTGTGTGTGTGTGTGTGTGTGTGTGTGTGTGTGTGTGTGTGTGTGTGTAAAGATTCTTTGCATTTCTACAGTAAAGCAACATTTGGTTCTTTGGTTGTGTGCATGTGCTGTTTGGCTGTTTGTTGCTCAAGTATGTGTGGGCATGTGTGTGTGTGGGCGGGGGGTGTAGGATGTGTGAACTGGGTGTGGATGCATTCCCTCGGGGTGTGTGTGCGTGTGTGTGTGTGTGTGTGTGTGTAGCATGTGCCTCCTTCCATCTTTAAAGTTCCTTTCTTTTGCAGCTCAGGACTCAGATTGTTTAAACCTGATAATTTGTTTATCAGGGAAATTCGAGAACGTTTTTACCCCCATGTTTGATCGCCGAGTGTTTCTCTGTGCTGATCGTAAGAGTGGACATTTCCACACAAATGTTTGTCCACGATCAGATTCTCTGCCTGAGTGAGACGCCTCCGATGCGGCGCTCGCCACAGACTTTGCCACTAATTAAGCCGTCATTCTACGAGGACAGCAGCCGATCAGATACCAGCTCCACGACTTCCATTAGAGCCCGTTCTGTGAGTCTGATTGGTTGCGACGGTGCGTGCTACTGCTCCGATTCTGCAGAGACACAGGTTATGGAGGCTCAGATGTCGCGCCACCTCTGACCACTCTCCAAAGTCGTTCCTTGTTCCAGACTCCTCTCGCACTCACTCTGACTCCCAATCCTCTCCCTCGCCCTCCCTCTGTCTCCCGCTCCTCATCTTCAGTCTCTCTCTCTTTAGAAACTCGGGAGATGAAACAGGCTGCCGTGTAAGCCAATCTCAAACTGTTCCTCTGGGTGCTGCTCGCTGGCTGTCTGAATCCAGGCCTGTAGACCAATGAGCCAAAAGCTTCTCCAGAGGGAGCCCCCACCTCAAATACAGCGGCCTGTACCCCCAGCCCCAGGCTCAGCCACAGGCCCCGACGAGAGCGAGAGAGAGAGAGACAGCGAGAGAGAGAGAGAGACAGAGAGAGAGAGAGAGCGAGAGAGAGAGAGAGAGGGTCTGCAGAATCTTCCAGGGGGCTGGACTGATGGGAAAGAGCTGGCAGCACAAGGGAGGAAAGCGAACTCCCTCCTTGAGCTGCTTCATGAAGGCCTGGCAAACGTGCACAGAGCGCAGAAAGGAGGCAGCGGTGGAGGACGGAGAAATAAGAGCAAAAAGAGGAGGGACAGAGGGAGTCAGGGCGAGGATATCCGTATGTTCCCCCCCCCTCACCTTTTCACCCTTTTTGGGGGTCACAGGGTTCACACCTTTGTTAACTATACCAGGGGTCTGATCATGTTTAAATCAATCTAGAATCTAAACTCTAGTTTCATATACTCCAGTTTAACATGATCTCAAATTATAACACAGGCTCGAGATCGCACAGATTTAATGCATGTGACGTATTTCAAGAAATTATGTTTAAACAAATCTGAAGGTGAGCTTTCGCTGAGCTTTGTAACTTCCCTGCCAGAGGATCTCAGATTAGATCAAACCAGTGTTCACGATTAAAGCATTACTGAAAACTTTTCTCATATTTGAATCACAAGAAGGTACCGGAGCAAAGGAATCACTAAAGTAAGTGATTTGTGTCAGTCTACTTTCTTTTCTTGGACATTCAAATGAATATGTATATCTCTAAAAGGAGTCTGCACTATTTAAACTTCCATGCTGATTAATGAAGAGCTAGGTTCTCGATGTAAAGTTTAACCCTCTGGGATTCATGTTGGATTTCCTTTAATCACAGCTGCATTATGACAGTTATTAAAAACCTTTCAGTGTTTGATATCTCAAGTCCTGGAAGAAATGTGCATCACAATCTGATACATGTCAAAAAAATGTCAAGGTAAGAAATGTGCTCAAAGATTCTTGATTTATAGGGGCACCGGAGGCCGTGAGCGCCCCATGTACAAGGGCTTTGGTCCTCCAAGTGGGCGGTCTGGGTTCAAATCCAGCCAGTGGATCCATCCCAGCAGGTCTCTCCCCTATTCTGGACTCTATCCAGTAGAGGTGGGGAAAAAAATCGATTTATGTGAAAATCGAGATTCTTATCATTTGAGATTTGAAATCGATTCATAACTTTTTTTTTTGCAAATCAGTCCCTCCCTGCTAAGTGCTAATGCTAGCTCTTTAACTCAGTAGAATAGAGCAACAAGAAATTCAGCCAGTCTCACAGATGACTGGAGTAGATCCTGAAGTATGGACTGATTCAAAAATAGACTTTGAATCCAGAATCATTTTGAATCGAAAATAGATTCTGAATCGAATCGGGACCCCAAGAATTGAAATCTAAAACCATTCCCATTCCTACTGTCCACTGTCCTATCTCTAAAAAAGAAATGCATGAAAGCCCCAAAAAATAAACCTTAAAAAAAGATTCTTGATATAAAACACAATCCTCAAATTTTGTTCGACCTGCTTCGTTGTTGGATTATGTTTTGTAAAGGCTGCATGTCTGCTGTTTATCTCTGAAGTATCTTCAAAACCTTTTCATGCTTAGTCTGCTGAAGTCATCCTGAAAGATTCAGAATCTGATAAATGTGGAGCGTGAAGAGTGAGGATGGTGAGACTTTGGTTTGTAAAAGTCTTCTTGCTGGCGTCTCATTTCTTAAAATTCTTCATAAAGAACATAATCCACAGGGACAGATTCTGTGCTTCATCGTTGGATTAACTTGTATAACAGAGCCGTGGGTTCGTCCTTGACGTCGTCCTGCTGCGGACACTCTGAATGATCAGCCCGGCTGAGTCATTGTGTTAACTGATTACCTTTGGAAAACAAGAGGAACACCTTCAAAAACGCAGCTCTAGCTGGCCGTGCCCATTGATCCTGGTTTTCCATGACGTGCATCCGTCTCCACAGCCTCTTCCACGCACACACTCACACACACACTCACACACTTATTGGAATTCAGAGTGGGGCCCAGGTAGGGGAAGCTATGCCCATATATGAGCATGGGAGGAAACAGGCCAGGTGTGTGTGGTTAGCACACCGTTGGAACAAGTGTTCTTGAGTACACAGAAAACACACACACACACACACACACACAGAGGACACACATTAACGGGCTCCTTGTGTTTCGCGTGCACACGTAAACCAAACTGCTTTTAGCCGTGTGACGTCTGAGTTATGCGGCTAAGCTCTTAACGGCACAATGTGGCGGCGAATGACAGACTTGTGAGAGTGACTTGTTGCTGGATAAACAAAGACGAGTCATGTGAAAGGGAAAGTCGGGGGAAGAAAAGAAGGAATGAGTCAAGTGATGCTTCCGATTGTTCTCGGGCTGCTTAACCCACTTTTTGTGTGTGTTTGTGTGTGTGTGTGTGTGTGTGTGTGTGTGTGTGTGTGAGTGAGTGTGTGTGTGTGTTCTGTCCCTTCAGCCTGTCCTTCCTCACTGAATCTTCGTCTTCTGTTACCTCTCATCATGCAGACGTCCATGCAATGACTCAAACCAGGTCATTAAACACAGGCTGCATCCTGTTTTTACAACCATCACCTCCCCAAAATCAGAAATCACCCGAGTCTGCATGAAATCAATCACAACTATCTTTCCATAATCGATGTATTTTTCAGATTGTGTTGCATGTAAGGAGTTAAAGCAGCTGCAGCTCTTTATTGTGACTTCTACTTCTACTGCAGCACACTGATTTTCCAATCTCGACCTCTATTCTATCGACTCTCAGCAGGAGAATCTGTAATATTTAAATTCAGGTGCCTGTCCATCAATCAAGTATCTAAATCCCCCTTTCCCTTTAAAAAGTTTTGCATTTAAAGAGAGGTTAATACTTATAATAAACGTTTTTTGTCCAGGAAATGTTTTTTTTTTTTTGCCCGTGTCAGGAATGCGCTCTGCTCTACTTCCTGCCAAGTCGGCCGGGTCAGAGTTCATTCTGTGTCGGCAGGGTGATAAGGCAGGAGAGGGCAGATTCCAGCTAATCTCCACCTGGGAATTTCTAAATCTCCGCCCCCATCGAGATACCTGCGATGCATCTCACCGCCAATCTTCCCTCCTATCACACACTCAGCCGGAAACGCCGCCGCTGATAAGAGCCGATAGATCCTCCGCGCTCTGATGTGACAGTTAGGCTCCTTATCACACACACACAGACACTCACACACACTCACACGTCCCGGTGCTATATACTACAGGCGAGCTGTAGAAAGTGTTCCAGGTGAGCCTGCAGTAAACCTTAGTGGGGTT